TGGGATGGGACCTGAGAGGTCATTTAGTCCAACCCCCCTTCCTCTCAAGGCAGGAACCTCAAGGGAGATGGGCGGTTAAAAACAGGAAATATAAATAAAATAAAGCTCTATTGTGGTGCTCCTCAGACTTGGCAACTTGAAGATGGGTGGGCTTCAGGTTCCAATATTCCCCAGCCAGTGTGCTGTAAGATGGGTGGACTTCAATTCCCAGAATTCCTCAGCCAGCAATGCTTTAAGATGTCTGGACTTCAACTCCCAGAATTCCCTAGCCAGCATGCTCTAAGATGGGTGGACTTCCACTCCCAGAATTCCTTTAAGTCAAGAAGAGACTGGACAGCCATTTGTCCAAAATGGCATAGGGTTTCCTGCCTGAGCAGGGGGTTGGACTAGATGACCTCCAAGGTCCCTTCCAACTTGATGATGATGATGATGATGATGATGATGATGATGATGATGATGATGTCTGGACTTCAACTCCCAGAATCCCCCAGCCAGCATGCTTTAAAATGCCTGGACTTCAACTCCCAGAATCCCCCAGCCAATGTTAAATCCCGTCGCTCTCATCTCGGCTCTCTTGCAGGAGGTCATTGAGGCCATCGCGGAAAGCGCCTTCAAGACCTCGCCCTACCCCGTCATCCTGTCCTTTGAGAACCACGTTGATTCGTGAGTAAGCTACTTGTAGCCGGAGCGCACCTGCGTGGGAAACGTCATTTTTTTCCTCGTATCCTGTTTTACGGAGGCTTCAAAAAACCTGCTTTTTACTGATTTTCCCCTTTCTAGAGCGAAGCAGCAGGCTAAGATGGCCGAGTACTGCCGAAGCATCTTCGGGGACGCCCTTCTGATCGATCCCTTTGAAAAATATCCGGTGAGTAACTCTTGATCAGGGCTCTTCAAACTTGGCCCTTTTATGACTCGTGGACTTCAGTTCCCAGAATTCTGGCTGAGGAATTCTGGGAATTGAAGTCCACAAGTCATAAAAGGGCCAAGTTTGAAGATCCCAGCTTGTGGACTTCAACTCCCAGAATTCCTCAGCCAGGCACACGTCCTGGCTGAGGAATTCTGGGAATTGAAGTCCACAAGTCATAAAAGGACCCAAGTTTGAAGACCCCTGCTCTTGATGGACCTTGCTGTTTACAAACTGTTGTAAATTGAGGACTGCCTGTATATATAAGAGATGAGACATGGGAAGAACAGATGATCTTTGATAGTCCTCAACTTCTGCCTCTTTTTCTAAATTAAGTTTTTTTGTGTGTGTTTGGGCTCAGCTGGTTTCCCAATTTGTCTTTCCCCCTCTTCCTGCAGCTCCAGCCCGGCGTAGCCTTACCGAGCCCCCAGGAATTATTGGGGCGCATTCTGGTGAAAAACAAGAAGCGCCGCACCCACGCCAAGGGGACGGAAGGCAGCGTCCGCAAACGGGTTCTGGAGCAGACACCCAGCTCCTATAGTGACTCTTCTGGGGTGGGCGAGCCGGGGTCTCCCGCCCTGGGTAGGTGCCCCAAAGTTATTTATTTGTTTGTTTTTTTATTAAATCCATATGCAGCCCATCTCACCATCCAAAGCGACTCTGGATGGTGGCTTGTCTTTTGGGGGGAAAGATTCAGTCTTGGTTAGCCAAGAAGCCGAATCTTTGGTCCATGCAAAGTCCGGGGGCTGAAGGGAGGGGAAATAGCGAAGAAGGAGGGGAGGAAGGAAGGGGGGACGAAGGAAGGAAGGAAGGAAAGAAGGGAGGGAGGGAGGGAGGGAGGAAGGAAGGAAGGAAGGAAGGAAGGAAGGAAGGAAGGAAGGAAGGAAGGAAGGAAGGAAGATCAGAATAATAGAGTTGGAAGGGACCCTGGAGATCTTCTAGACCATCCCCCTGCTTAGCCAGGAAACCCTATTCCACATGGCTATCTGGTCTTCTTGAAAACCTCCAGTGAGGGAAGGAGGGAGGAAGGAAGGAAGGGGAAGGGAAGGAGGGGAGGGAAAGAGGGAAGGGGAAGGGGAGGAAGGAAGGAAGGAGAGTAAGGAAGGGGTAGGGGAGGAGGGAGGGAGAAAGGGGAGGAAGGAAGGAAAGAAGGAAGGAATTAAAGAAGGAAGGAATTAAGGAAGAAAGGAAGGGGAGGGAGGGAGGGGAGGAAAGGGAAGGAGGAAGGAGTCAAAGAAAAAAACAGTGTAAGAAAGCAAAGAAGAAAAGTTGAAGAAAGGCAGGAACGAAAGAAAACGATTCCATACAAAGATGTCGCTTCCCACCTTCTTTACCGCACGTATAATTCTCAATTTGCCTCTCGCTCGATGCTTACAACAAGCTCTCTTCTTTCTATAATCTATCTATAATCACAAGCCATCATTTCATGTAGCACAGGAAATTAACCTCAGGCCAGCCAGCCGTGACAGCTCAGCGGGAACAAGCAGCTGATGATATCGCCCCAGCCTGAGCAGCCACAGCACGCGAAGCAAAGTAGCCGAGGAGGGGAAACGAAACTCAAAAGCCGGTTGATTTTTCTTCCTCGTGTCTTCCCCTCCTGCAGGGTCTCCCTTCGCTGAGCAGCCCGAGATCCTTTCCTTGATCCTGACCAACGGGGAGGAGAAGACCCCCGACAGGATGGCAAAACTAGGGGAACCCCGCAAATCTATTGGTGAGACTTCCCTGGAAAAACATCCCCAGACAGCTGCATGTCCAAACTAAGGTGAAGAAAAGGTTTTCCCAGTATGCCAGCTGGGGGATTCTGGGAGTTGAAGTCCACCCACCTTAAAGCAGGCTGGCTGGGGGATTCTGGGAGTTGAAGTCCACCCACCTTAAAGCAGGCTGGCTGGGGGATTCTGGGAGTTGAGTCCACCCACCTTAAAGCAGGCTGGCTGGGGGATTCTGGGAGTTGAAGTCCACCCACCTTAAAGCAGGCTGGCTGGGG